CCTATATAAATAGTAAGGTAATACTGCTAATGGAAATGTTCCTATGTAACTAGTAAGGTAATATTAATAATGGAAATGTTCCTATGTAACTAGTAAGGTAATATTAATAATGGAAGTGTTCCTATGTAACTAGTAAGGTAATATTAATAATGGAAGTGTTCCTATATAAATAGTAAGGTGATACTGCTAATGGAAATGTTCCTATGTAACTAGTAAGGTAATATTAATAATGGAAGTGTTACTATATAACTAGTAAGGAAATATTAATAATGGAAGTGTTCCTATATAAATAGTAAGGTGATACTGCTAATGGAAATGTTCCTATGTAACTAGTAAGGTAATATTAATAATGGAAGTGTTACTATATAAATAGTAAGGTAATATTGATAATGGAAGTGTTATTATATAACTAGTAAGGTAATATTGATAATGGAAGTGTTACTATATAACTAGTAAGGTAATATTGATAATGGAAGTGTTACTATATAACTAGTAAGGTAATATTAATAATGGAAGTGTTCCTATATAACTAGTAAGGTGATACTGCTAATGGAAATGTTCCTATATAACTAGTAAGGTAATATTGATAATGGAAGTGTTCCTATATAACTAATAAGGTGATACTGCTAATGGAAATGTTCCTATATAACTAATAAGGTAATATTGATAATGGAAGTGTTCCTATATAACTAATAAGGTGATACTGCTAATGGAAATGTTCCTATATAACTAATAAGGTAATATTAATAATGGAAATGTTCCTATATAACTAATAAGTAATATTGATAATGGAAAGGTTCAACCGAAAACTGAACCAGATTCTTAGCGTTGTCCAACATGAAAACTGAACCAGTTTCTTAGCTTACACAACTCCCCACATTTTTAGAATGACTCAAAGTTTTTGAACCAAGTACTGTTTGTAAAATGTTAACAATAATATTATTTAATACTTATTACTTCTAGAAACAATATTGTTCGTAGTGAACAAACAGTTTACGGGTTTTTGAGACAAAAACTAAAATAATAAGTTTTATGTTTTGCTGCCATATCGATAAAGTAACATATTAGAAAATAGTAAAAAATAGGGAAATAAATAGGATCTGAGTATAAATTAGTTATCTACATTATGGTCAGTACAAGTTTTTTCATGTACTACCTGTGACTTTACTTATCGAAGAATAAAAACTTATCATTATTTTATTTGATACATTGAAACCGGTGGTGTAAGTACAAAAGACGATATATTGAAACCGGTGGTGTAAGTACAAAAGACGATATATTGAAACCGGTGGTGTAAGTACAAAAGACAATATATTGAAACCGGTGGTGTAAGTACAAAAGACAATATATTGAAACCGGTGGTGTAACTACAAAAGACGATATATTGAAACCGGTGGTGTAAGTACAAAAGACGATATATTGAAACCAGTGGTGTAAGTACAAAAGATGTCCCCCACTCCCACCACCAGCATAAAAACTAACTGGACCCATTACATGCGTTACCGTTGTCCAATTCTTACCTTTGTTAGATTTCTTTGGTCCCCCTTGTGGCATATTTCCGCCATTGATTAAAACGTAGTTAGTATTAATATTTTATATTATAAAGCAAGTTTGTTCTTTAATTATTTTGTGAATAATGTTTTATAAGAAGATCAGTTTACGGTTTTTAATAGTATAAATAATTACTAGTTCCTTCTTCAGTTTAAAAATAATAGTAATAACTACTCTAAACATAATACATATTTAGATGTTGTAGCAACTTTCAAATGTTCATCCTGTTTTTCAGACCTCCAAAGATACTACCTCAACAAGAACCTAGCAATGATGTACAAGGGGTGGAGAAGTCGTTACATCTGTGGTACGGATTCACCACTAGTGGCGCCACAATAGCGCGTGAACTAGAGTTTCGTCAGTGTACGTTAGTGGTTCTTTTGGCTTGGTGGATTTATTGAAGATTCGCGTGGACAAATAAACTGGAAAGATATATATATATGTAGCTAAAGTACTTAAGTATCATTATTTAAGGTATTAGTGTAACTTAGAAATATGTTAATTTAAAGTAACTACAGATTGTTAGAGGGGATTTCGGTTCTTCCAGTGTAAAATTATTGCTCATCATTACGAACAACGGGTTAAAGTAAGAGACTGGTGTAGCGTCACTGATGGAAGAATTATAACGATGTTCTAAGTTATAAAAGATATAATATCGAGACTATAAACACTTTCCAGTGCTTTTGGGGGTGAATACGACGTTTAACAAAATATATATAAAACCTTCTCTTCTAAAATGTAAGAAAAATATACTCTCAGAAACAGATAAAACGTACCGATTAAAAAATCGGAATTACAGTTTGAAAGACTACAAAATATTAGTAAATCAGGTCTTTAATAAAACTCTAAGTTGCTAGATATATAACGACCAATAACTGCTAGTTGTTTTGATAAAAACGATATAATATTATTACCAAAAGAAGACGCATTGTGTACTAAAAAACTACATCACAGAAGACATGTTATCATAAATGTAGACTAAAGGAAGACGTCGTGTTAACCTAAATAAAACGATGTCTAGTAGAAGACGATATCATTATTGAATACGACAACGTATTACCAAAAGAAGACGCATTGTGTACTAAAAAACTACATCACAGAAGACTTGTTATCATAAATGTAGACTATAG